CTCCCTACGCCCAGAGGCAGATACTTCCTTGAAACACAAAAGTACCCTTTGACCTGTATCACAAGAATAACGGGTCTCACCTGAGTAATCTCTACAGGCTACTTACAAACACAAATACACACTTTGTCCCAACATCACTTATTCGATGTTTGACCCTCAGACAAAATGTTCAATGTACGCGCACAATCAGACAAGTATTCATTCTAAACTACTGACAGGCATATTGACATTGAACTACTGCAGTGAAACTTACTGCGTCGGTAAAGTCACGGAGAAAGAAATTAAATAACTACAGAACACAACGCTTCGATTGGAACACAAGCAACCATCATCAGGTGCAACAAGTGAATGAGAAAACAAACATAGTGAACTTAGAAATATAATGCAACACAACACAGAGTCAGCCAACACAACAGTCAACACCCTACCTGGTTGATTACGTTCTTCCAAAATTGAACAATTTAGTTTAGATAACATCTTATTAACAAGGAGCTATTTAAAGAATGCACCCTCCACTGAACAGTGGATGTGAAACATACAATTGCGTCATTCAAAACGAGTAGGTCATTGCATGTTGGCGTCTGGTTGAAAATGTAGCAAATTCCAAACATTACCCACAAACTACGCAGCTAAATTGACACATCAACCATCGCCCCCTACTGACAGGCTCTTGACAACACGCAGGCCGGTGCAGGGCCACCACCTTGTGCCACACAGGGGCAGCTGCTACTTGGGGTGCTCTTAGAGTGTGAGACGAGATACGATACAAAACTCAGCAAGCACCATGTAAAATAAATTATTATGAGAACATCGTGAATGCTTGGGGGCTTATTGGCTCTCTGCTGGTCAGAGATCTACCAACACACAGGTCCACAAAGACTGGCCACTCGCCCTTACCCTGCAGGTTGCACCTAGGAACTGAGTGTTCAACTTCACATTCTTGTCATTAAAGGCCTGTGACAAAGGTGCATCTATTGGAGCGGCATCGTCACTGGTTTAAACATCTACCGGGTCTCCATTTGACGTTGTATTGTCTAGGAAGTCCACCAACACCTCCACTTCCACAAACTGCTGGGAGTTGCCTCGCTCTGCCTCACAGTCAGAATTCTCTTCCTGCTTCACGTTGCCTCCATCCATGTGAAGGTCCCATTTTGGAGTTGAATCTTCATCTTCACATTTTACCTTCACTTCACTCTTCACCATCACTTCTTCACATTTCACCTCGTTACCTTTAAAAGTGTCCAGGCTGGGACTTTCGTCCGGTTCTTGTTTCACGAGGGATGGGCTCATTGCAGCACTTTGACTTTCACAAGCTGATTTCACACTCCACTCCTTGAGGATCTTCTGATGCTTGTGTGTTCTCAGGTGTGCTTGAAGATTTGGTGACTGTGCAAACGCCTTCCCGCACGGAGTGCACTTGAAGGGTTTCTCTCCCGTGTGTGTTCTCTGGTGTATTACAAGAGTAGATGAAAGTGTAAACGCCTTCCCACACACACCGCACTTAAAGGGTTTCTCTCCCGTGTGTGTTTTCTGGTGTGTTACAAGAGTAGATGACTGTGTAAACGCCTTCCCACACACACTGCACTTGAAGGGTTTCTCTCCCGTGTGTGTTCTCTGGTGTGTTACGAGATGACATAAAACAGAAAACGCCTTCCCACACAGAGTACACTTGAAGGGTTTCTCTCCCGTGTGTGTTCTCTGGTGTGTTACAAGAGTAAATGAAAGTGTAAACGCCTTCCCACACACATTGCACTTGAAAAGTTTCTCTCCCGTGTGTGTTCTCTGGTGTGTTTTAAGATTATATGACTGTGAAAATGCATTCCCACACACACTGCACTTGAAGGGTTTCTCTCCTGTGTGTGTTCTCTGGTGTATTTTAAGATCAAATGACCGTGCAAATGCCTTCCCACACACACTGCACTTGAAGGGTTTCTCTCCCGTGTGTGTTCTCTGGTGGATCTGAAGAACTGATGGCCATGCAAACGTCTTCCCACACACACTGCACTTGCAGGATTTCTTTCCCGTGTGTGTTCTCTGGTGCTGTGTCAAATTTCCAGTCCGCTCCGTGTTGTATCCACGCTGGTCGCATTGTTGCCTTGCCGTACCGAGCTGTGCTGAGCGCCTTTGCTCCATCAGACCAAGCAACAGCTGCAGACAGAAAAAATGTATATCCACACCATCTACATGTCAGTATCAAGACACAGAGGAAATGAAAAACACAGTCACACGTGACTTACACGTCTATACTTATTCATATATCCATGATGCAGTGAAAAAGTTTCCCCAAATTCATCACACGGGCTGTTATGGCACACAATGAGAGGGTGAATGGTCACAAATATGCCTGGAAGCCCTCGTATCTTCAAAATGAATGTGAACCCAAAACTCCGAGCACACAATTTCGGCTGTCTGGCTACAAAAGAAATATTTATAAGAGCTAAATTCGGCTGACATAGCAAAGGGTGTTGAAAACAATCCTATTTGTGTTATGCAGAAATGCGTAAATTAATACTGGTAGGAACCTCCTGGTTACACCAGCCCACAGGGGATTATTGTGTCCGTCGTGAAGGGAGGGGCTGGGTGGGGAGGGTGGGGAGGGGCTGGGTGGGGCTGGGTGGTGGGTGGGGAGGGTGGGGCTGGGTGGGGAGGGGCTGGTCACCCCGTGGTGCCCTTATAAAACTCAACGTTTCACCTACTCACGCCGGCTTGTGCCCGCACTCACAGTCGGGCATATTTGCGGAATACACCACGCCGCCGTTGACCCTGCAGGCCATTGAGCGAGCAACCCGACGTTCCTAGCAGCTCCCTCCGCAGCAGCAGGAATGTTGTTCAGTGGCAACTTAGCGGTGTGAAGCCAGGCTCAAATGTCCTTGAATGATGGGATGAACAGATCTGACGTCAGCTGCTGCACGTGTGTGTGCTGTGCTAACTTCCTGCTTCCACTCTTATAAAGAGTTCCAGAGGAAAACTAAAATAAACTATTGTTTTGATACAACCTCCGTGTTCAACAGAGTTAATATACTTTACACTGTCACACACTGCCCGGTTTCTCCCTCCACATTCAGCGTCTTTGACAGACAGACATTGACACACGTAGTCTTGGTTCGTTCGGTAAAGTCACGTAGATGGGAAATAAAAATAACAGATCATGAAATTAAATTAAATAATGACCACTTGTGTGGCGATCGAAACGTCGTGGGTTTATTCTTTATTTGCAATTTTTTAATTTTATTTAACATTATTATCTGTTATTTTTTTTAATCTCCGTGACTTCACCGAAAGAACCAAGAATATGAATTGCTGCAGTTACTAAAGTTTTAAGTCAAAACCCCAACCCACCTTGTGTCGTGGGCAGGTGGCTTCTGTAAACAAGAGCGTTATAGCAGCTCAGGCGGGCTTGGGCTGGTAAAAAAACGAAAAAAAAACTGCGTTAATATCTACAATAAACCAAAGTGACAAAGTAGCGAGCCGCGTGAAGACAAATTAAACTTAAGGGAGGGAATTAAAGCAAACGCGACCAGGCGAGGGCAGGAGGCAAGGCCCCGCGTGTCTAGGCCCCGCGTTGTAAAGTTCCAACTTGGACATCGATTCACAAGCTGCTGCTGCTCTATTGACATCCCTACGAGAGAGAGAGCGAGGCTCTAGCTTGGTAAACAACAACAACCACAACAACAACCACAACAACCACAACGATGAGAATTTCTCACCTCGGATTGCAGTTCACGCGCGGACCTCCAGCTTCCTGTTACCTCGTGACGTCACGCGGCAGCAGATGACATGACGTCACGCGGCTGCAGATGACATGACGTCACTTTCTGGGGTACAAGACTCTCCCCTCCCACAATGAGAGGCTACCCTAACTGAATAAATTAATAAATTATGTTGATGTGGCGATCATCAACATTATCAATAAACATAATTTACACCATCATATACAACAACATCAACATCATCAGCAGCATCAACAACAACAACATCAGCAGCAGCAACATCATCAGCAACATCATTAATAACATCATCTACACCATCATCAGCAACATCATCACCACCCCTAGCATCAGCAGCAACAACATCATCAGCAGCAGCATCAACAACAACATCATCAGCAACATCAACAACAACATCATCAGCATCAACAACAACAACATCAACAGCATCAACATCAACAGCATCAACATCAACAACAACATCATCAACAACAACAACAGCATCAACATCAACAACAACATCATCAGCATCAACAACAACAACAACATCAGCAACATCATCATCATCAGCAGCAAAAACAACAACATCATCAGCATCAACAACATCATCAACAACATCATCATCAGCATCGACAACAACAACATCAGCATCAACAACATCATCAACAACATCAGCAACATCAACAACAACATCAACAACAACAACATCATCAGCATCGACAACAACAACATCAGCATCAACAACATCATCAACAACATCAGCAACATCAACAACAACATCAACAACAACAACATCATCAGCATCAGCAACATCAACAACAACATCAGCAACACCGTCACCATCTAGAACAGAGGGGAGGGAAGACTGCGGCCTAGTCGGCCTCGGGCCATCCCGAGTTTTCCTAGCGGACCCGCCGCGCCCGGAGCGCCTCCCCCGGCAGGAGTCGGGATCGAATAACGGGTCCGCCGGGCGTGGTGAACACACACACACACAGTGTACACACACACACAGTGTACACACACACAGTGTACACATACAGTGTACACACACACACATTGTACACACACAGTGTACACACACACAGTGTACACACACTACACACACACAGTGTACACACACACATTGTACACACACACAGTGTACACACACACTGTACACACACACAGTGTACACACACACAGTGTACACACACACTGTACACACACACTGTACACACACACAGTGTACACACACAGTGTACACACACACACACATTGTACACACACAGTGTACACACACAGTGTACACACACAGAGTGTACACACACACACACATTGTACACACACACACACAGTGTACACACACACAGACAAACAGACACAGACACACAGACACACACAGTGTGTACACACACACAGTGTACACACAGACTCACAGTGTACACACACACAGACACACACAGAGTGTACACACACACACAGTGCACACACAGACACACATACACAGTGTACACACAGACACACAGTGTACACACAGACACACAGTGTACACACACACACAGACACACACAGTGTGTACACACAGTGTACACACACACACAGACACACAGTGTGTACACACAGACACTCCAACACACACACACAGTGTACACACAGACACACACACACACACAGACACACACAGTGTGTACACACAGACACTCCAACACACAACCGGTTAGTGCTGCTCCAGTGACAGATTGGCACGGTATGTCACGTGATAAACCTTGCGAATTGGCTGTCGGCTGATGGCCGGTTTAACGACACGCAAACATTCAAACTTAATTTGGAGTTGGAGTTTGTGTCTCTCTCTCATCATCACGGTGGCTAGGAGATGTTAACTCCCTCGCCTGGTATGCAGGAGGTCGTGGGTTTGATCCCGATACTGAAGATTCTTGCTGTATATTTGGAGTTTGTGTGTCTCTCTCATCATCATCACGGTGGCTAGATGTTAACTACCTCGCCTGGTATGCAGGAGGTCGTGGGTTTGATCCCGATACTGAAGATTCTTGCTGTATATTTGGAGTTTGTGTGTCTCTCTCATCATCATCACGGTGGCTAGGAGATGTTAACTACCTCGCCTGGTATGCAGGAGGTCGTGGGTTCGATCCCGGCCCTGGCGACGCCTACTGTTGTATATTTGGAGTCTGCGTGTCTCTCTCTCTCTCATCATCAGTGAGTGGGTGAGTGGGTGGGAGAGTGTGTGAGCGAGTGGGTGTGTGGGTGAGTGGGTGGGTGAGTGTGTGAGGTGAGTGTGTGTGCAGGTGAGTGTGTGAGCGAGTGTGTGTGCGGGTGTGTGTGCGGGTGAGTGTGCGGGTGAGTGTGCGGGTGAGTGTGCGGGTGAGTGTGCGGGTGAGTGTGTGAGGTGAGTGTGTGAGGTGAGTGAGTGAGCGAGTGGGTGTGCGGGTGAGTGGGTGGGTGAGTGGGTGGGTGAGTGTGTGAGCGAGTGTGTGAGCGAGTGGGTGTGCGGGTGGGTGAGTGGGTGGGTGTGTGAGCGAGTGGGTGGGTGGGTGAGTGTGTGAGCGAGTGGGTGTGCGGGTGAGTGGGTGGGTGAGTGTGTGAGCGAGTGGGTGTGCGGGTGAGTGGGTGGGTGAGTGTGTGAGGTGAGTGTGTGAGCGAGTGGGTGTGCGGGTGAGTGGGTGGGTGAGTGTGTGAGCGAGTGGGTGTGCGGGTGAGTGGGTGGGTGAGTGTGTGAGCGAGTGGGTGTGCGGGTGAGTGGGTGGGTGTGTGAGCGAGTGGGTGGGTGAGTGTGTGAGGTGAGTGTGTGAGCGAGTGGGTGTGCGGGTGAGTGGGTGGGTGAGCGGGTGAGTGGGTGGGTGAGTGTGTGAGCGAGTGGGTGGGTGAGTGTGTGAGCGAGTGGGTGGGTGAGTGTGTGAGGTGAGTGTGTGAGCGACTGGGTGTGCGGGTGAGTGGGTGGGTGAGTGTGTGAGTGACTGGCTGTGTGAGGTGCGTGGATGGGTCAGTGAGTGGATGAGTGAGGAGGGGTACCAGGTCGTCTACTGGGGGTGAGGGGTCCTTATACAGGGCGGTTCAAAGGTCAAGACACAGTTTCTTGGGTTTCTATTTTATTGTGATTTTCCGAGTTTACAAAGGTAGCTCTCTCTCCATCCGTCTCTCCACTCTCTCTTCCTCTCTCCACTGCTGGGCCTGTAGGCTTGGCCCGAGCGAGTTCCCGCCTTTTCACGAGTTGATTCCGCCCCCCGCCGTGGCTTTGTCGGCACGAGGCTTCTGCGCCGGTGAGTGTCAAGGACTCCAACGGGCCCCAAGCCGCTGCCCCGTCGTCACCGCCGCCGTGGACAAAGCGCCGAGGCTCGACATCATGAGCTGCGTGGAGAGGGACCTGCTGGACCTCGTGTTGCGCACGGGCTACAACATCGTCCAGGAGAACGGACAGAGGAAGCTGGGACCGCCGCCCGACTGGCAGGGCCCCCCTCCCGCCCGCGGCTGCGAGGTGTTTCTGGCGAGGATCCCGCGCGACCTGTACGAGGACGAGCTGGTGCCCGTGCTGGAGGCGGTGGGGCGGCTGTACCAGCTGCGCCTCATGATGACGTACCACGGAGAGAACCGCGGCTACGCCTTCGCCACCTTCGCGACGCGCTCGCAAGCCGCGGACGCCGTCAGGAGACTCCACAAGTCGGAGATCCGCCCGGGGCAACGGATCGCGGTTCACGTGAGCGTCGACAATCGCCGCCTCTTCTTGGCGGGGCTGCCGAAGGTTAGGACGCGGGCCGAGGTGATGGCGGCAATGAGCGACGTCACGGAGGGCGTCGTGGACGTCCAGATGCGCTTCTGTCGCCACGACAGGAGCCACAGCCGAGGCTTCGCGTTCGTCGAATACGAGAGCCACCGCGCGGCCTGCATGGCCCGCAGGGTGCTGCTGCCGTACTCCTTCCGGCTGTGGGGCCGAGACATCCACGTGGACTGGGCCATCCCGCAGCGAGACCCGGGGGCGGCGGCTGCTGCTGCTGCTGCCGCGGCGGTGGTGGTGGTGGCAACGGAAGACGACGAGGAAGGGGGGGAGGAGGCGGTGGCAACTGAAGATGAGGAGGGGGGGGGGGAGGAGGCGGTGGAGGAGGAGGTGGAGGAGGTGGGGGAGGAGGAGGTGGGGGAGGAGGAGGCAATGGAAGACGAGGAGGAGGTGGCGGCAGTCCCAGGCCTCCCGCCGCCGGAGTGCGCCGTCTCCGACAAGGCCCCGCACAACCTGTTTGTGGGCTGGGCGGCGCACACGCTGCTCTGGCGGGCACCTCACCACCCGTGGCCCACGCCAATCGGTCTGGACGAGCTGCCGGAGACGGCCGTCTTGTCGTGGGAGACGCGTTTGCAGGCGCTGCTACGGAGCGCCGGCGTGGGCCACGCGACCTTCGAACTGCACGCTCACTCGGAGCCCGGCAGGCCCATGGGCCTCCTGTACAAGGTCTCCGTTCCCGGGATGATGCGGGAAGGCAGCGGCTTCTTCCCCGCGGTGCTGAGCTCCAGCGCGGAAGGAGCTCGCGAAGTGGCCAGCGGCCTTCTCTACGAAATCCTCGGCGACGCCAACCCCCTGAGGGTGGGCCCGGTCCCCGCCGCCACGCTGCCTCCCGGCTGCCCCGTCCGGAACCTCCCGGCGTATCCCGGCGACTTCCCCGCGCCCCGGCAGCCGGTCGCCGCGCGCCTGCCGACGAGCGGCACGCACCCGTAGTGCCGCGTGGCCGTCGCGGCGGCGTTCGTCAGGCCGCGGACGGCATCCCACCGCTCGGCGTTCGCTCTGAAGCTCACGTCCGCTCTGCCGTGTTCACCGTCAAACCGCAAGTTGCCCGCCCGCTCACTCGACGTGCTCACGTTGATCGGTTGTTGCCTCTGTGGCCGTACCCGTGAATCCCTTCCCAGGCCAGCGGGCGTGACCCCGTGACCTCGCCAGGTGTGACCCCGTGACGTCACCAGGCGTGACCCCGTGACCCCCCCAGGTGTGACCCCGTGACATCACCAGGTGTGACCCTGTGACGTCACCAGGCGTGACCCCGTGACCCCGCCAGGTGTGACCCCGTGACATCACCAGGCGTGACCCCGTGACGTCACCAGGCGTGACCCCGTGACCTCGCCAGGTGTGACCCCGTGACCTCGCCAGGCGTGACCCCGTGACGTCACCAGGTGTGACCCCGTGACGTCACCAGGTGTGACCCCGTGACCCCGCCAGGCGTGACCCTGTCATTACACTTTAATGAAAACCGACAACTGAATCCGTAAAAAAAAATGATTTCAGGTGTTTGACGCGTCAACGCCATTTCGTTTTGAAAATGTCGGGGAGAAAAAAATATTTTTTTCACATCGCATTTTGATTCATCAAATAGAAAAACCCACTAATCCACCCACCCACACACTCGCTCACCCACTCACACACCCACTAATCCACCCACCCACACACTCGCTCACCCACTCACACACCCACTAACCCACCCACCCACACACTCGCTCACCCACTCACCCACCCACACACTCGCTCACCCACCCACACACTCGCTCACCCACTCACACACCCACTCACTCGCTCACCCACTCACCCACCCACACACTCGCTCACCCACTCACCTCACACACTCACCTCACCCACTCACCTCACACACCCACTCGCTCACTCACCTGTTCACACACACACTCACCCACTCATCTGTTCACACACTCACCCACTCACGTAGCGACTTTGCTACACACGGAGATGTCCGTGCACCGCCTCGTTTGCACAGCCTCTATCCCTGTGCCACGTGTAGTTCGTGCACACACAGCTGTTAAAGAGTTTGATGTTTTATCGATTTACAATTTACGTGTGTTTTTTTCCCCGTAATGGTTTTTTGTTAATGTTTTAGCGGAAATAAAGTCCTGAAAAGTCTCTTCCTCTCTCTCTCGACTCTCTCGGCCGAGTATCTGCCACTGATGGTTGTGAGTGTCGCATGCTTGGGACCCGTCTTCCCCTCCTCTGCGGATTTAATTTGATGTGCTGATTCCGTTTAGAACAGGTCCCTGCGGGGTGGGCTGGTAGGAACGAACAAATGAATGGCTATAATAAAATGAAATGGCGGGGGTACAATACGAAGGGAGAGTTTGAGGCCTAGTTCTAGGCTTTAGGCCTAGCTGTAGGCTTTAGGCCGCTGTGAGTTAATTTGTAATTTAAATGTTTTCATTAAAAGCTATCTCAGGGAATTATAAGGGAATGTTACACTTCATCTTCTTGTTTCTTTCGGTAAAGTCACGTAGAAGGGAAGTAATAAAATAATAAAAATAAAACATAATAAAACAATTCTCACGACGTTTCGGCTACAACGCAAGCAGCCGTCTTCAGGTGAAGAATGAGACACTACCAAACTAGGAGCTTATATATAAGCTGCATTGGGGGTTGAAGAGCGCCTTAACAAAAAGAATGTGCATGTGAAGAGGGATTTAGCATATTCATGGAAAATGCGTAGGCGTTGGGCGGGGGGGTGTCAAAGTCATATTATGCCCATGCATTATGCAGGATCAGCAGCAACCAAGGGGGGTGCAGGGATTAGCAGTAACAAAGGAAAGGAATGTTAATGATATGTAGCTGCAGTTACTCAACAACCACGTAGAAAACTAAAGTATAAACTACATAAAAAACTAAAGTATAAACTGCATCGCACCATCAGTATACTTACTATAATCTATAATAAGCTGAGTTACTAACAGCAAGTAATACATTACAATTTTACCTCGTAAAAATTCTATAATATGCTTCCATCTAAACCTTATTCTCTTACATCACACGAGCATATACCGTACTATATACTGCCATAGATAAACCCAACATTAAATTATATACTGTATTGCTGTAAACCAACCTATATCTTATACATTTAATATCACACTATGTATTATTCTACACACCCTAATGTGTATCGAAATGGTTTATTACGTCCTTCCAATGATTGCTGAGCCAGAATCCATCTTCTCGGTTAAAGTTGTCTCTGTGTTTGTATATGTGGATCGCCTCATGAACGAATCTCTCATGATAGCCAGATGGCTTGCAGAGAACCTCTGTCTTGGAGAAGTCAATATCATGTGAGCCCACTGAGTTGTAACAGTGATCTGCCACGGCTGAGGTGTTAGTCCTACCGTGTTTCAGGTCAGCTTTATGTTCACGGATGCGGTCCGAGACATGTCGTTTGGTTTCCCCAATGTAACTGCTACCACAGAGGCAACTTAGTTTGTAGACGCCAGGGTACTGTATGTCTGGAACCACATCTTTTACAGACGGTACCAGATCACGGATTTTATGTACTGTGTTGAATCGGACCTGGATCTTGTGTTTAATCAGGATTTTGGAGATCTTTTTTGTGACCCCAGCAATGTAGGGTAAGGTGATGGTCTTGAAAGGCTCCTCAACAGGATCCTTCTTGATGGTTGGAGTGATGGCTTTGCGGATTGTATAGTCGGAGTAACCATTTGCCTTAAGAGCTTGGCGTACGTGTTTGAGTTCACTGGAAATGTGTTCATGGTCGGAGATGCATTGGGCTCTATGATATAGAGTCTTGATGAGGGAATTCTTCTGAGATGGATGGTGGTGGGAATCCGGTTTTAGATAAGCATCCGTGTGGGTGGCTTTCCTGTAGACAGAGTGGCTCATTGAACCATCAAGTCTCCTTTTGATTAGGACATCCAAAAAGGGTAGCTTGCCATCATTTTCGACTTCCATGGTGAATCTGATGGCTGGGTGTATGGAATTGATGTGGTCGAGAAATTGGTCTAGAGCAGGCCGGCCATGTGGCCAGATGACAAAAGTGTCGTCTACGTACCTCTTCCATAAGGTCGGGCGTAGAGTGGCAGTCTGGATGGCGTCCGTCTCAAATTTCTCCATGAAGATGTTGGCTACAACCGGAGATAGGGGGGAGCCCATTGGGGTGCCCTCAATTTGCTTGTAGAAGGTTCCATTCCAGGTGAAGTATGTATTGGTTAAGCAGTGTCTCACCAGGGGGGGTACCCCAGCATTCAGTCCTTGATGAACCAAGTCTTCAATGATTGCGATGGTGTCAGGCACAGGTACCTTGGTGAACAAGGAAACCACATCAAAACTGACAAGCAGGTCGTCTGGGGACAGGGCAATCCCCTTGATTGTCGATACCAGGTCAGTAGAGTTTAGTACTGCAGAGGTGGTTTTTCCAGTGAAAGGCCGTAGGATTTCGGACAAAAAACGAGCCAGTTTGTAAGTGGGGGAGTTGATAGTAGAGACAATGGGACGAAGAGGTGTATCTTCTTTATGTATCTTTGGCAAGCCGTACAATCTTGGTGGTCTGGCTGCAGAAGGTTTCAACGAGAACTGTTTGGTCTGATCAATTAATGCGGTTGAAGCAGAAATGATGTTGTTGGTTTTGGAGACGAGGCTGTTGGTGGGGTCTCTTTTTATTTTTGTATAGCTGCCATCGTTTAGTAGTTCTTGAATTTTGTTGTTGTATTCTATTTTGTCCATGATGACAGTGGCATTGCCTTTGTCGGCTGAGAGGATGACAATGTCATCCCTCTTTTTTAATTGAGCTAATTCAAAACGCTCCTCTTTGCTGATGTTGCTAGCTGGCATCTTAGCGTTTTTGAGGGTTACAGAGATTTCGGATCTTGCTACGTCTGCAGCGATGTGACTCAAGCCCTTGAGAGCTACATCTACTCGAGCAATTATATCATTAACTGGTATGTGTCTAGGTGTGACTGCAAAGTTTAGTCCTTTAGCTAAAACGGATTTCAAACCTTCAGAAATAGGACTGTTACTGCGATTAATTACGACTTTGTTAATATCTAGCTTTTCAATGTGTGGGTCCGGTTTCTTGTTTGAGAGGCGATTGAATTTGGAAATCAAGTTGTCCTTACATTTAGTCGACATAGCGGCAGCTGAAGAGGCAGTCATTTTTTCCACATGTTCCCAATCCGATGTGGACATTGTTACACTCAAAGATAAGTGTGATTTGTAGAGTGTCTTGTCTAACTGATCTAGTTCGGTGCGCGTAAGTCTGATTTTCTCTGAGATAAGAGCTAAGCTAGTTCTAGACAGAATTCGTTTCGCATTAGAAGAAGTTACAGCAGCAGATGTTAGTGTAAATGCGTTTGGTATTACCTTAGAGTCGCGGCATCTCTTCAGAAAGGTGAGAGACTCGATTAGCTGAGCCTTCTTATCCCGGAGCTTGTTGAAGGATCTCAAAGTTATGTGGAAACCCTCCCCGTAGAGGCGGTTAAATTTCGATTTAAAGCTTTCGTGACTGCAGGGATTCATCTTCTTGTTTCTTTCGGTAAAGTCACGTAGAAGGGAAGTAATAAAATAATAAAAATAAAACATAATAAAACAATTCTCACGACGTTTCGGCTACAACGCAAGCAGCCGTCTTCAGGTGAAGAATGAGACACTACCAAACTAGGAGCTTATATATAAGCTGCATTGGGGGTTGAAGAGCGCCTTAACAAAAAGAATGTGCATGTGAAGAGGGATTTAGCATATTCATGGAAAATGCGTAGGCATTGGGCGGGGGGGTGTCAAAGTCATATTATGCCCATGCATTATGCAGGATCAGCAGCAACCAAGGGGGGTGCAGGGATTAGCAGTAACAAAGGAAAGGAATGTTAATGATATGTAGCTGCAGTTACTCAACAACCACGTAGAAAACTAAAGTATAAACTACATAAAAAACTAAAGTATAAACTGCATCGCACCATCAGTATACTTACTATACTCTATAATAAGCTGAGTTACTAACAGCAAGTAATACATTACAATTTTACCTCGTAAAAATTCTATAATATGCTTCCATCTAAACCTTATTCTCTTACATCACACGAGCATATACCGTACTATATACTGCCATAGATAAACCCAACGTTAAATTATATACTGTATTGCTGTAAACCAACCTATATCTTATACATTTAATATCACACTATGTATTATTCTACACACCCTAATGTGTATCGAAATGGTTTATTACGTCCTTCCAATGATTGCTGAGCCAGAATCCATCTTCTCGGTTAAAGTTGTCTCTGTGTTTGTATATGTGGATCGCCTCATGAACGAATCTCTCATGATAGCCAGATGGCTTGCAGAGAACCTCTGTCTTGGAGAAGTCAATATCATGTGAGCCCACTGAGTTGTAACAGTGATCTGCCACGGCTGAGGTGTTAGTCCTACCGTGTTTCAGGTCAGCTTTATGTTCACGGATGCGGTCCGAGACATGTCGTTTGGTTTCCCCAATGTAACTGCTACCACAGAGGCAACTTAGTTTGTAGACGCCAGGGTACTGTATGTCTGGAACCACATCTTTTACAGACGGTACCAGATCACGGATTTTATGTACTGTGTTGAATCGGACCTGGATCTTGTGTTTAATCAGGATTTTGGAGATCTTTTTTGTGACCCCAGCAATGTAGGGTAAGGTGATGGTCTTGAAAGGCTCCTCAACAGGATCCTTCTTGATGGTTGGAGTGATGGCTTTGCGGATTGTATAGTCGGAGTAACCATTTGCCTTAAGAGCTTGGCGTACGTGTTTGAGTTCACTGGAAATGTGTTCATGGTCGGAGATGCATTGGGCTCTATGATATAGAGTCTTGATGAGGGAATTCTTCTGAGATGGATGGTGGTGGGAATCCGGTTTTAGATAAGCATCCGTGTGGGTGGCTTTCCTGTAGACAGAGTGGCTCATTGAACCATCAAGTCTCCTTTTGATTAGGACATCCAAAAAGGGTAGCTTGCCATCATTTTCGACTTCCATGGTGAATCTGATGGCTGGGTGTATGGAATTGATGTGGTCGAGAAATTGGTCTAGAGCAGGCCGGCCATGTGGCCAGATGACAAAAGTGTCGTCTACGTACCTCTTCCATAAGGTCGGGCGTAGAGTGGCAGTCTGGATGGCGTCCGTCTCAAATTTCTCCATGAAGATGTTGGCTACAACCGGAGATAGGGGGGAGCCCATTGGGGTGCCCTCAATTTGCTTGTAGAAGGTTCCATTCCAGGTGAAGTATGTATTGGTTAAGCAGTGTCTCACCAGGGGGGGTACCCCAGCATTCAGTCCTTGATGAACCAAGTCTTCAATGATTGCGATGGTGTCAGGCACAGGTACCTTGGTGAACAAGGAAACCACATCAAAACTGACAAGCAGGTCGTCTGGGGACAGGGCAATCCCCTTGATTGTCGATACCAGGTCAGTAGAGTTTAGTACTGCAGAGGTGGTTTTTCCAGTGAAAGGCCGTAGGATTTCGGACAAAAAACGAGCCAGTTTGTAAGTGGGGGAGTTGATAGTAGAGACAATGGGACGAAGAGGTGTATCTTCTTTATGTATCTTTGGCAAGCCGTACAATCTTGGTGGTCTGGCTGCAGAAGGTTTCAACGAGAACTGTTTGGTCTGATCAATTAATGCGGTTGAAGCAGAAATGATGTTGTTGGTTTTGGAGACGAGGCTGTTGGTGGGGTCTCTTTTTATTTTTGTATAGCTGCCATCGTTTAGTAGTTCTTGAATTTTGTTGTTGTATTCTATTTTGTCCATGATGACAGTGGCATTGCCTTTGTCGGCTGAGAGGATGACAATGTCATCCCTCTTTTTTAATTGAGCTAATTCAAAACGCTCCTCTTTGCTGATGTTGCTAGCTGGCATCTTAGCGTTTTTGAGGGTTACAGAGATTTCGGATCTTGCTACGTCTGCAGCGAATGTGACTCAAGCCCTTGGGGATTGCCCTGTCCCCAGACGACCTGCTTGTCAGTTTTGATGTGGTTTCCTTGTTCACCAAGGTACCTGTGCCTGACACCATCGCAATCATTGAAGACTTGGTTCATCAAGGACTGAATGCTGGGGTACCCCCCCTGGTGAGACACTGCTTAACCAATACATACTTCACCTGGAATGGAACCTTCTACAAGCAAATTGAGGGCACCCCAATGGGCTCCCCCCTATCTCCGGTTGTAGCCAACATCTTCATGGAGAAATTTGAGACGGACGCCATCCAGACTGCCACTCTACGCCCGACCTTATGGAAGAGGTACGTAGACGACACTTTTGTCATCTGGCCACATGGCCGGCCTGCTCTAGACCAATTTCTCGACCACATCAATTCCATACACCCAGCCATCAGATTCACCATGGAAGTCGAAAATGATGGCAAGCTACCCTTTTTGGATGTCCTAATCAAAAGGAGACTTGATGGTTCAATGAGCCACTCTGTCTACAGGAAAGCCACCCACACGGATGCTTATCTAAAACCGGATTCCCACCACCATCCATCTCAGAAGAATTCCCTCATCAAGACTCTATATCATAGAGCCCAATGCATCTCCGACCATGAACACATTTCCAGTGAACTCAAACACGTACGCCAAGCTCTTAAGGCAAATGGTTACTCCGACTATACAATCCGCAAAGCCATCACTCCAACCATCAAGAAGGATCCTGTTGAGGAGCCTTTCAAGACCATCACCTTACCCTACATTGCTGGGGTCACAAAAAAGATCTCCAAAATCCTGATTAAACACAAGATCCAGGTCCGATTCAACACAGTACATAAAATCCGTGATCTGGTACCGTCTGTAAAAGATGTGGTTCCAGACATACAGTACCCTGGCGTCTACAAACTAAGTTGCCTCTGTGGTAGCAGTTACATTGGGGAAACCAAACGACATGTCTCGGACCGCATCCGTGAACATAAAGCTGACCTGAAACACGGTAGGACTAACACCTCAGCCGTGGCAGATCACTGTTACAACTCAGTGGGCTCACATGATATTGACTTCTCCAAGACAGAGGTTCTCTGCAAGCCATCTGGCTATCATGAGAGATTCGTTCATGAGGCGATCCACATATACAAACACAGAGACAACTTTAACCGAGAAGATGGATTCTGGCTCAGCAATCATTGGAAGGACGTAATAAACCATTTCGATACACATTAGGGTGTGTAGAATAATACATAGTGTGATATTAAATGTATAAGATATAGGTTGGTTTACAGCAATACAGTATATAATTTAATGTTGGGTTTATCTATGGCAGTATATAGTACGGTATATGCTCGTGTGATGTAAGAGAATAAGGTTTAGATGGAAGCATATTATAGAATTTTTACGAGGTAAAATTGTAATGTATTACTTGCTGTTAGTAACTCAGCTTATTATAGAGTATAGTAAGTATACTGATGGTGCGATGCAGTTTATACTTTAGTTTTTTATGTAGTTTATACTTTAGTTTTCTACGTGGTTGTTGAGTAACTGCAGCTACATATCATTAACATTCCTTTCCTTTGTTACTGCTAATCCCTGCACCCCCCTTGGTTGCTGCTGATCCTGCATAATGCATGGGCATAATATGACTTTGACACCCCCCCGCCCAACGCCTACGCATTTTCCATGAATATGCTAAATCCCTCTTCACATGCACATTCTTTTTGTTAAGGCGCTCTTCAACCCCCAATGCAGCTTATATATAAGCTCCTAGTTTGGTAGTGTCTCATTCTTCACCTGAAGACGGCTGCTTGCGTTGTAGCCGAAACGTCGTGAGAATTGTTTTATTATGTTTTATTTTTATTATTTTATTACTTCCCTTCTACGTGACTTTACCGAAAGAAACAAGAAGATGAATCCCTGCAGTCACGAAAGCTTTAAATCGAAATGTTACACTTGTTTAGCCAGGAAAGCCTCACTGAGTCTAAAGGTTTTTGTAGGGTCCTGCCAAGTGTTTGCAGTAGGGGGCGATGTTGCTACACCTAATCGGACATCGGACGGACGATATAATCTATTGTAGGCTGGTTCACTTCGTTCCTACCAGTATAAAGGATTTAAATAACCTATAACTATAGGGTGACACCTGTCGGCCTGGAGTGGTGATTACGGTCATGGGTGCATTACGCAATGCCTCATTATATGGGGGGTGGGGGGGCGTATCTGGGGTGAAGATGAAGGCGGAGTCGGTCAAGAAGCTCCTCTGGGAAGCGGCTGGAGGGTTCTGGAAAGGGGGCGTGGCCAGAGGTGGCGCTTGGCGGATATGAGGGATGATGGACCGGCGGTTCGTGCCGCCGTGGGTGCTGGCTGCGTCGCTGCTCGCCGGCATCATCTCTTCGTGGCCGACCTCGTGACGGATATTCGGCAGGACGGGCAGCTGGCGTGGCGAGGCCGGAGATGGGGCTGCGTGTCAGGATCGCCAGTGTGCAGCCGCGTTACGCGAGAGAGTGTGCTCTCAATAAGTCGCCCGCTGCACATTTGTGAAAACAACAACAACAACACGACGACAACAACAACAACAACAACAAAGAGGTACCTCGCCATTCTTTTGCTGCTTCAGAGTTAACTTTTATTACCCTTTAGCTTTTTTATTCGGTAAAGTCACGTCGGCGAAACATTAAAACAAATCGAATGACGACGTTTCGGGCGCAACACAAGCGACCCTCTTAAGGTGGGGGCAACAAAAAAGGACGCAAACTCCTTAGGCCTCGCCCCGGGGCCTACTCCTTAGGCCTTGCCCCAGGGCCTACTCCTTAGGCCTCGCCCGTGGCCACGCCTGCGGCCTCAGAGAAGTACGGATGGAAGAGGGCGACAGACGCAGAGATGCGCTTGCGGGGGCTGAAGGTCAGCAGCTCCTGCGGGAGGCACGGCCGTGCGTGCGGAGGGCGCGGAGAGACACAGAGAGACACAGAGAGACACAGAGAGACACACAGAGACACAGAGACACAGAGAGACACAGAGACACAGAGAGACACAGAGAGACACAGACAGAGAGACACAGAGAGACACACAGAGACACAGAGAGACACAGAGAGACACAGACACACAGAGAGACACAGACACACAGAGAGACACAGAGAGACACAGAGAGACACAGAGAGACACACAGAGACGAGAGGCGATGCGTTATTGCCCGCTCAACGGTAATCCCCGTCGAAGCGCGACAATTGCCGTCGCGTACAATCCGCCCGCGTCTCACCAGCAGCAGCGCCATCGCCACATTCTCGTTGCCCGGCGCGACCTCCAGCCCCATCTCCGGCGTGGAGTCGACCAGGGCCCGCGGGGCAGCGTGGAGACCGTAGGAGGAGTGGCGACCACCGAGCTGAGTTTGCGCGGCAAAGTCGCCGTGCGGCAGGGAGGCTCCGAGCAGCCACTCCTCCAGGCTCGGCACGCCCAGCAGACTGGGACATGGGGGACACGGGGGGAGGGGGGGGGTAAGGGGGGGGGTAGGGGGGAGGGTAAGAGGGGGGGTAAGGGGGGGGGTAGCGGCGGAGGTGACGGTGAGAATTCGGCTGTTGACTATCAACCCACTTTCATCAATGATTGCGCAACGGAGTGGCTGTTGTGGAATTTACATCAGCAGCCAAATACTCCTGCCCCCCCCTCCTCCTTCTTCTCCTCCCCCTTCCCCCTCCCCCCCCCTCCTTCCCCCTCCTCCCTCCTCCTCCCCCTTCCCCTCCTCCTCCTCCCCCCCCTTCTTCTCCTCCCCCTTCCCCCCCCTCCTCCCCTCCCTCCTCCCCCTCCCCCTTCCCTCTCCCCCTCCCCCCACCTCCCCCCCCCTCCCCCACCCCACGTTGCTCTCCGCTAACAAATGAGATGGCGTCTATTGGCCCCCGCGCCGCTCCCCACGGCACGCTCGCCACGAGCTACTCACCCGAATATCTTCGTCAGCTGATCAACATCGGAGCCTCCGGGGAAGAGAGGCCTGCGTTGAGGGGAGACAAGGAGGTCACCTGATGCGACGTCGCTTAGAACCTTTTTGCTTCTTTCGGTAAAGTCACGTAGAAGGGAAATCATAAAATAATAAAACGCAATAAAATACAATTCTCACGACGTTTCGGCCACAACGCAAGCAGCCGTCCTCGGGTGAAGAGCAAGTCTGTCGGAAAGACGGCGTCTGAATGAGCACCACCAGGCTTGTCAGCGTATATATTTAAATATATACTTAAATACTTAAATATACGCTGCCAAGCCTGGTGGTGTTCAGAAGAACAGGTCTGTCGGAAAGACACATCATCATAATAACAACAACACCAATTCAATGGGGGAGAGGTGGCATGGTGTTCGGTCGGACCCACGGGGGCACCTATCCTGGCACGGGCGCCATGGCGACGCCACCCTGCCAGGCCTGTGGTGACATTGCGTGCGGGAGAGGTGGGTGGGTGGCTGTGTGGGTGGTTTGGTGGGTGGGTGGATTGATAGGTGGGTGGCTGTGTGGCTGGGTGGGTGGTTTTGTGGATTGGTGGGTGGGTTGATAGGTGGGTGGGTGTGTGGGTGGGTGGGTGTGTGGGTGGGTGGTGAGTGAGTGGGTGGGTGGGTGGTTTGGTGGGTGGGTTGATAGGTGGGTGGGTGTGTGGGTGGCTGGGTGGTTTGGTGGATTGGTGGGTGGGTGGGTTGATAGGTGGGTGGGTGGGTGGTTTGGTGGGTTGATAGGTGGGTGGGTGTGTGGGTTGGTGGGTGGCTGGGTGGGTGGATTGGTGGGTGGGTGGGTGTGTGGGTGGCTGGGTGTGTGGTTTGGTGGGTGGGTTGCTAGGTGGGTGGGTGGGTTGCTAGGTGGGCGGGTGGGTTGCTAGGTGGGTGGGTGGGTTGCTAGGTGGGTGGGTGGGTTGCTAGGTGGGCGGGTGGGTTGCTAGGTGGGTGGGTGGGTTGCTAGGTGGGTGGGTTGCTAGGTGGGTGGGTGGGTTGCTAGGTGGGTGGGTTGCTAGGTGGGTGGGTGGGTTGCTAGGTGGGTGGGTTGCTAGGTGGGTGGGTTGCTAGGTGTGTGGGTGTGCGGGTGGCGGTGCTCAAGGAGCACCTGCGTGTAAACATCTCAGCAAAGATGCAGCCGACGCTCCACAGGTCGGCGGCCGGGCCGCAGGTCACCCGCAGCAGCAGCTCCGGGGCGCGGTACCACGACGGGGACACCTACAGCAGCGGCACACACAAAGACAAAGATCCCCCGTGTAGCCTTCACACACCGTAGGGGCAAGTGCCCTTAGCGAGTAGCAGCGCCTATGACGGCCGGCACACGAGGGGGTGGGTGGCCAGCACCGCA